AGCTGTCACAAAGTTGAGATGTGGCCGTCGGCTATTTCAGTGGGGAAACAATTATAAAAGGGGGTATTGCTGGGACATCACTTGATCACATTATGCATATCAGTGTTGTGGAATTATTTTTCCTTGTTTTTGAGGCTAGTTCTTTAATTTACGGATTGGTAGTATGTAAGTTGCAAGAAAGAGTCCACACACCACCATTTGGAGTCATGATATGGTGACTTGAAATCGGAGAGACTGGAACACTTTGATTTGAAAGTAGGTCTTATCGATTTCAAGATTGCAACTGCGATGTTCGCATTTTGATCTGGTCAATTGATCTGAGATGGTAAGACTTGGAGGAAATCCACATGAGAGTAGGTCTTACCCGCCTCGAGATCATGACTGAGGCGGCGAAGAATTTATGAACCATACTTGTTAGACAGATTCTAAATCTGTCTCTGAAACAGTAAATCAGAATCAACATGTAAAACAATTCAATCTGCTTCTGTGACACTTACCAAGTATGCAGCTTTGGTTCTGATTATGAGGAGGATGGCGCGGCAGTTGAATCGAGAGATATTTAAATTGTGGAGGTGCCCTGCCCTTGATACAAGTAAAGGAGGAAATACTTTGAGGTAAGATTGATATAAATGTTGAAGTATTTTGAGGAGAGGATTTTGGAGATGGTTAAGAGCCGTGCCAGGAAAGAATATCCTGATCTATTTAAGCAAGGCAGGAGGAAACAAGCGAGCTACAAGCTAAGGGCAAGACCTATGCTTCGATTTCAGACTGTATTTGTCTTGTAGTACCGTGACTTTGCCTAACTTCTTTTCAGTCTATGATTACTTCTTTTGAAATCTACTAGCTTGCGATACCTAGTTAATTCACTATAATTTTTGTGCAGCTCCTTCCTCTTGCCTTGATGCCGGATTTCTCAAGTTGTCCTCTTTGAGCGTCCCGTAGCAGTACTTTTCTCTATAACTATTTTTGTGAAGATGGAAGTGATTTCAGACAGTTATATTCGCCAAGATGCTTCTCTTCTACTTGAGGCTGCCTCGCACATCAACTTATTCACAAACAAGAGTCCGCGGTTCCAAGCGCAGTAAGCATCAATCGAATAACTAAACTTTCACATGATGGCAATCGGTACTTCAGCGGCCTCTTTTCAATATGTGCCTGCAGTTTCAACTTAAGCAACACCTCGACTCACATCCATACTGTGCCACTTAGAGATCAATAGACTCAAGATCAGACCTGATATAATTCACTCCAATTGACCAACAAAATAATCTACCATATCCACGAAATATCACCCATCCCAAGTTTCAACCTTACTTTCATCAATCACGAATACCGCTTCTTGACCTGAACATCTTACTTTCTACGAGTTCTCAGACTTCAACATTGATCTTCAAATGTCCCTTTACCTTACTGACTCCATCCTTCATGGTCCGAACAAGACCTCCATAAACGATAGAAATGAAAGTCGCGCTTACAGAAAGACCTTGATAGATTGTTCCGCGTAGAATGGTTCCACAAGCCAGCCCAAACTTGATAGATTATATTGTCTTCAATACTCCATTGCTTATATGCCTTGGCTAACCCAATGCAACAAGTTCTCGGCGATATTCTAATCAAGAAGAAGTTCGATCTTCCCTTTGATACTTCTAGAAAATTTATACGTTAAATAGATCCCATCAGCTCTCCACTTGAAAATGTGTCTAAGCCGAAATAGCCCGCGAAGAACTGCTTCTACCTCATCTTAAATGTCTAACAATTTCAACAACAATCTTCTTCTTCCACCTGTCATGTTTTGTCCTCGGAACTGCATCTATTGATCGTGATAAATGAGCTCTTGAGCAGGATTACTGGCGCAACATAGTAAGATTTCATTTTCATCATCAAAGGTTCAACCTCTATAGAGTGCAACTTCCACACAGAAGACACCCGGTAATACACGCGGGTTTAATAATGATTTACTTCCTTAAGATATACACCCCCTCCCAGTCTATCTAGTCTATCTAGTCTTTGGAAGTAGACGGAGATTAGGATACAATCCCTAATCCGTGTAACCACATTATGTGATGAGAAGGAAACCCTTAAGAAGGACAAGAGATGATTCAAGCCAACTTTAATTTATGAATCTGTGTCTTCTAATAGTTCAAAATGTAAGGCAATATTGCCCGTTCCCTCATCCACTCTTTGGCGTTGGTTTTGTTCTTTTCTGTCATGGCGGCGCTTTAGTTCTGAACTGGATATTCCCAATCTACTTGGTCACGAAAGATTCTACTGTCAAGACTTCAAATAGATATCAGTATGTAGAGATTAGTTTCTATCATCTATACTACTAACATTAAGCTTGCCGTGACTGACATACTGTTCTCTACGTCAATTAAGTAATCAGCTCAGCGAGCACCGCAATTGCTATCTAGAGCTTAACCTAGCGATCAGAAATTCTTCAATACAATGCGCTGATCCAAATCGCTTGGTTTGAATAGACGTCAATGCTTTCACATAGAAGGATATTCTATGCAGCTGAGCATTCGTGTTGCAGTCTCCCTGGTGAATAAATTATTCTGCACTCACTCCCGCATTGATTTCAACGGCAGAGCATGAAACCCTCAGAATCAACCTCGCACCTCGCACTTTCCATCCCCCTACCAAATCTCGCCCGAATCTGCTATTCCTCAAGTCGATAGAGGTAATGATTGAATTTTATTTGAATGTCGACAATCTAGTGATCTCCATCAGGACTTCTTTCACCTACACAAAACTTAGAGCTCAGATCTACTAGCACGTCAAATGAAAGTTCTGTCACTGTAAAATCTATCGATGGTGATAGAAAGAAGTTCAATCTCAAAGAGAGGATAGATACTATGAAATACTTGGCACCTCACCATAAATCAAATCCACGTACCAGCAAATCATTGTGTGGCATTGGTATTTCCATTTTAGGGTTCGGAAACTCTCTTCCACTCCCTAGAATCATACATTTTCACATCACAGCACCTCAATCTCGGTAACAAATCGCCTCCTTTTCACCCATCATTCTTCTCTTATCCCTATTCCCGGGATATTCAGGGGGTGTCTAGCTGGTCATTATTCGACAGGGATGGAGAGTGTGAATTGGAGAATCGTGGATCAAGTGGGACTCAGTGCAGCGAAAATGGTGATGTTGAGTTGCGATTTGTCATTTGAGATTTGATTTTCAAAGTCCGAGAAACTTTTGACGTCTAGGTCAAGCTGAGCTAGGTTTCGATGAATAAGTATATATGACGAACATGTATAATGAGTGTATAGATACGATGCAGTAAATACTAAGACTACCCTACCCTACCACGCCCCAACCCTCTCACTCTCAACCTCAACCCCAATCCAAGTCCGATTTCCACCTCGCCAACCAGACCGGTCGTGCAAACCTCCAGTCTCACAACAGCTGTATTCAACAAATCCTATGTTCAACCCAAACCCAATCAGCAAATAACTAGCTCCCTAGCGAAGTGCATCCACCATCCACCCTCCTCCCTCCCCCATTCCATTATCTTCCGGAGTCATTCAGACGGCAAATGATTTGCAGCCCAGGCGTAACGCAAGTCAACGCGGACAAGAAGGGGAGCAAAGTACGTGCCTAGAGTATTAGTAGATAGAGAAACCGTACCGTACCTTGTCATAAGCTACAAGCTTTGAGACCTCGGGAATACGGGGTAATGTGATGCTAATGGTGAGGTTGTTTGTCACCATGTATCATTGATCCACCCCATACGGATGATATGGAGAATCATCCGTTCCTCCAAGCCCAGATACCCTACGTTAGTATCATATGCAAGACTGGTATAGTACACCTTTTGCAAATCAGTGCAATACATATTGCAGTTGCACAATCTCAGAATTCATTTCGCACAAGTCAATTACAAAAGCCAACTATCCACATCACGTCACTTCACTTCATTACCTCACATCTACAACCAAAAACATTTGAGATTTGGCAGACAAATCCATTCATGTCAAGTCGGCGACTTCGCCCGTCTGACCTAGGTATCTATCTATCTATTCCGTTCAGTATTGAGAAGTAGTCATATAACTCACTAAACTCACTGACGAAACCTCATCTTCGAATCACTTGATTCCCCACCTTTTCCCTTACCATCCCTCATACCCAACCCCGGGCATGCTTTCTGCATAATTCCTCTTGTGATGATGATGGTCAAAAGCTCACCGCTAAGACAAAGGACCCAAATCGGTCGATCATTGCCAAAGCTTTACATGTTTGTAAAACTCCTCCTTCCTGCATCCTCCATCCAACCATTCCGTCCGTTCATCGTGTCCGGCGTCGTCCATCCATTCCCTTTACCCATCAATCCAACCACCCATCCTTCCACTCCAAATACAAGATTTTTTCGGTGAAAACAATTGCCATCTCCCAATCATGTCATATCTCTTCTCATCATCCATCATCAGCGTCATCATCCATCAGAAACCTTGAAAAAGAAAGTCGAAAACCCTGCATGCATTCTTTGCTTAAAACCAGCAGAAAAAGCTCGACAGAAATGTGGTGGTGTAAGAGGGTATTGGTGCGAGATAAGGGGTCAAAATTGTTGTGTTGGGGATAAGGGAATCTATTTGTACAAAGCAATGTGTAGATAGTGATATGGTGCTGTTGGTGCTAAACAAATGGGGCTCGGGAATCGAAACTTTCTCCTCCGTCATATCAAGTGATATGAATTTTCCGCGGTGGTTAAGAGGCAAGGGTGGAAGAGGAGCCTCTCGGTTATGAATGGACGAACGAATGAACAGACAGGATCTGTGGTTCCGAGGATGTAAAAAAAGGATGATAGAACAAACAGCTCAACGAAGACCAGGGACAATACCCCTCTGAAATGGCCAGCCGTTGTGAAAAAAGAGAAATCATAAGAAAAATAATAAGATCGACATTTGTTGAGCTCTATCGGTAATTCATGCGCCGGCCCTAGGAACGGACATTAAAAGTTGTAAAGGACGCGTTTGACCGTGAAAAATTTCGTTCAAGTTTGAAGAGTCCCTGTAACACCACCAGTTTGACGCTTGACTTGCTCACGAGCCCAGCGTGCGGTATCGATGGTTCTATGTTGGAATTCTCTGTTTGACTTGGTCTCCTTGATCATCGACATGAGCCACTCGGCACGGTAGAATGCGGTATACTCGCCGTTAGGGAAAGCATCAGCGAGATCACTAAGTCCGTTAGCACACGTAAACGGGATAGGTACAGTAATGGGGAAATACCCAATGACACCCATAGCTGATCTCATAAGAGCATCACTTCGGTGTTGGTCGATCCAGATGGTATTGAGAAGGGCAAAGATTGATTCAACGTAAGGACGTAGTTGATCATCTGTATCCTGTTAACAAAATGATTTTAGAACATCGATATGATGACTCACTCTTGTTATCCATCTTCATGGCACCAATGATACCACCCCAAGCATCCATGATACCCTCTCTCAAAGAGATAACATAATCGAACATCTCATAGGATCCATCGGGGCTAGCTTGAACACCAGCTGCTTGTTGAAGGACTTGAGCGACGACAGACAAGTAAGTCTCAAAGTGGCCACCAATAGCACCTGCGATATCTCCGAAACATTGAAGAATGGCAGGCTTGAATTGGTTGGCAAGTGCTGTACTCTGCTGGTATGTTAGATTCGACATTGCTTTTAGGGGGGTGGGGCATGGAGGTATTCTCCAATCCATGAAAGACAAGATTAATATATTCTGAAAACATACCCTCAAATTGTTCAATAGATAGTTCATAAATGTGTCACAATATGGCTGGCATGGTGGGCCCATGGAGCGGGTGATGTCACTGACGAGACCAATGGCCATGGAGCACAAACTTGGCTCTTCCTGGTTACCAAGAGCATTGTAAAGGAAAGGAGCAAACGCCTCCATGTAGTTGGCGAAACCTTCCTCGAGAGCATTAGCCAGACTGCTGACAGTCGCAAAGACCGCATCAGGAACGCTCGATTTAGGTCCAGAGGCACTGAGAATTTGAAGTAAAACAGTCATGATTGTATCAGCTTGAGGAGTAACCTCTTTCTCGAGACGTTGAATGATAGCTAACAAGACAGTGGACAAGCTGACTTGCATCTCCTCAAGTGTGATCCTATCCTCGACACTGACAACCTGAGATTGAAGAGGGATAGTGTTCTCTAATCTCTTGACAATAACCTCAGAGAGTTGACTGACAGATGGAAGACTGTCATTCGCAGCATTCATGACGAAGGTGTTGAGAACTTCATAAGCAGCGGTTCTCAATGCATTGTCGGCATCGGATCTCTCGGTAACCTGAAGAAGTCTCGAGATACTCTCGTTGAAATGAGGTGAGATAGGGTTTTCCTGGCAACCGATATCTCCGGAGAAGCGTTCAGCAAGGTTCATCAAAGCCCAACAGCATGAACCTGCCATCTTAGGACTGCTGATAAGACCTTCAAACAAGGATGCAATCAACTTTGGCAAGTGATTGGCTGGGTCGATAGCCTCCGAGCAAGCTTCAGTGATGCGGCCAAGAGCATAAGCTGCCGAGTCCTTGACGTGTATGGATTTATCCTCCATCATGCTGATAATGACAGGGAGTGCTTGCTTGACGATTGGCTCGAGCGTCTTCTCATCCGGGCCTTCCATGATGGCACCGAAAGCAGAGACAGCAGCATCACGATCATGCCAGTCCTCTCCACGGAGCTTTTGTTCAACAAAGCTTAGAACAGGCTGAATGATTAATCCACCAACTGCTTGTGCGTAAAGTTGTAAACATTGGTATGCGGCACGAGAAATGTTGTATTCGTCATCGGCGGCATCTTCATCCTGCTTTGTCAAAAGCATCAGAAGAACGGGCACAACCTCGTTAGTTGCAACCTTGCTGAAGTTGTAGAATGATCTCATCAAGGAAACTTCTTCAATCTATGGCATCGTTAGCAGAACTCATTAGTGGGTCGAAGGTGTTGAAATCTTACCTGTGCATTGTCATCTTCGATAGCAATCTCCTCTTCGCAAACTGTGCTCCAGAATTCAACAGCAAGCTTTGCAACATCTTCCTCTTCGCTCTTCATTCCCATGATCGTGAGACCGAAAAGGGCCTTCTCCATATAAAAGCGCATCAAATCATAATACAGCGACATGATTCTGTTGAGACATCCAAAAGCACCCTGTTGTATCCTGGAATCGGTAGCTTGTGTAGCCTCGCAGATAACCTGCATGATATAGTTTCGCTCGCCCTCGTTCTTGAAGTTGCTATCCACAAACTCCAATGAGTTGCCAAGAGCATCAATAGCTGCCAGTCGTACCTCCAAATTTGCTTCTTCCTTTCGGGCACCCTGGACAACAGCTGTCAAAATAGCATTGGAATGCTGTATGAGACTCTGTCTCAATTCTGCATCTTGAGTTTCGCAGATGAATCCGAGAGTAGTCAAAGAAGCCTGCTTGAGATGATCGGTACCCTCTCCCACGTTTCGTACCAAAGCGGGCATGAGTTCTGGCCATTGGTCTCTAGGCAGTTCGATGGCTGCTATCGAAGATATAACTTGTGCAGCTGTTTGACCGGCTTGATTGTTGTTTGAGGACAAAGCTTGGAGGGTCAAATCCTTCACGCGCTTCCTAGTATCTGGATCAACCTGCAGCCATTTGTCTTGTAATTCGCGTTGCAGAGCATATTCGCGGGTTGTGAAGGCGTTCTTAAGGGCGATACCAGCAGCAGCTCGTACGGAGCCTTGTGCTTCTTCATTTGCTAACTGTTCTACGAGAGTGACGAGGTATCCTGACTATTTTGATGGAAAAAAGTCAGTCAAAGAAGACCATGGAAACCCATAGATAGTGCGGTCAAGGCTGTGTGGGGGAACTCACGAAGTTGGCTTCAGCAGCTTGGATGAGCTGCTGTTCGGCAGCAATACGAGTAGCATTGTCTATTAACAGTTAATACAATAAGTTTCAAAAGTCTGTTCACCTTTTGAGACACATTTGGTGATTGGAGGGGAAGTACTGACCTGCCGCCAAGGAATTGAGCAAGACAGAACCAACGTCCATCGTTACAATTTCCCAAATTTGTTAAAGGTGCTTGTAGATATTTGTATTCTTGTAAAAGAGTTAATCCTATCTCTTTACAATATAACTGTTTTGTTGATGTGCGATGAGGTGGTTGAAGAAATTCAACTGGGGGGGTTTGTTGATGTGCAGTGGAATTTGCGGTTGTTGAAGAAAGCAATGTTGACTTTGACTTTGGGTTGTGGTATACCTACTAATTGACAAGGTCAATTCTTTACTAGGGCTTCCAGACTTGTAAGTCACTGGAATTCTCTAAGAAGAGAAGATTACTTCTAATAAAAAGATCTTTGATTGACCTTTCTTGACCTTGGGGAAATATCTGAGTAAATGAATGAATGTAAAAAGAATCAATAGAGTCCTGTCCTTGTCCTTGTTCAAGAGAGAGAGAAATGAAAATTTAAGTCTCTGGTGGTTTGTTTTGAATTTGATGGTCCAAAGGTATAAGTTAAGTTCTAAATTTCTAAATTTCCCTCTTAATGGATCAGGTTGTCCCCGCTATGGACTATATCATTGGCTCGTTTAAGTTTGGTATCAGTCATTCACGTGCTTTATCAAATCTTATATGGGGATCTCCGAACTTTTCGTTTGTTCCTCAACAAATATACTACTTTACATACTCAAATAATTACTTGAGTATAAAATAAACCTACTAATTAATATATATACCTATTACATTAATGAGTGAATCATTCTTTAATCACCTTAATCATCATGAATTTATAGACTTCCTATGATTCAAAATGCACTTTTTTTGCTCGCTTTTCCAGATGATATTATCCCCTCCTTCCTCCCCCAATAAAAATGCCAATCAAATCCCCCATCCCGAACAAGGGGCGCTAAAAAGCTACCCCTCATTTTTTGCTATGAAAGCAGCCCTTAAGCTGAGAGTAAGAACAACGAAAGAAGAAGAAGAAAAAAAAACAAATTTATGCCCCGTTAACTTTTGTCTCCAAAACACTCACTGCATCTGTTCCATTCTTTGATGCTGTAGTAGGCTTGGGAGTTGCAAGACCACCATTTTCCTTAGCTGAGTTATCAAGATCGAGGTCACGGCTTGGTACTAACGCCATGCTTACCCTTGAAGAGTAATCATGAACTGTAGTCATGTTAAACACAATCAATAGTGGAGATAACAAGAATAGAAGACTTACGTTTGAAGCTGCACTCAAGAGTGCAATCAAGGAAGATTGAACCACATCCTCGTGGACTCCAACACCCCACACCTTCTGATTAGAACCTGTAGTTGTACATTCGATATAAGATGCAGCCTTAACATTGGTTCCTGCGCCAACTGCATGCTCCTTATAATCTGCCACCTCAAGGTCAATCCCTAAACCTTTCAAAGCATTTGCCAAACTAGAGATTGGTCCGTTTCCTAGTCCCTTCAATTCATGTTCTTTTCCGTCGACCGAAATGACACCTTCGAATCTACGATTCAAATTCGTCGTGTCTTGCGTCTTGCCTGGGGCGGGTGGTACAGGCGAGGCACTCCTATCAGTACTAATAGAGTAATCGACAAGGATGAATCGTGGATTATGTTTGAGGTAATAGGTCTGCTCAAATAAATCCTGAATCTCGCGTGAAAGGAGTTCGCGGCTAAGTTCATCGGCACGCTTCTGAACCACTTTGCTGAAAGCAACTTGTAACCCTCTTGGAAGATCAAGCTCGAGATTTCGTAAAATAATCCAAGCAGCTCCACCCTTACCACTTTGCGAATTCACACGAATTACAGCCTCGTAAGTACGGCCGATATCTTGAGGATCGAGAGGAAGATATGGCACTTCCCAGCGATTCTCGTCTCCGTGATCTCCCTTCCTCCGAAGTTGGAACCCCTTTTTGATTGCATCCTGGTGAGAACCACTGAATGCACAGACGACCAAGGAGCCACCGTAAGGTGCTCTTGGGTGAATCGGAATCTTGTTGCTGATTTCAACAACATCAATAACCCGTTCGAGGTCCGAGAAATCAATCTTAGGATTGATGCCTTGAGTGTAGAGATTCAGAGCCAAAGTAACCAAATCCACATTTCCTGTTCGCTCTCCATTTCCGAATAAACATCCCTCAACTCTGTCAGCACCAGCCATCTGTGCCAATTCTGCGGCTGCAACAGCACATCCCCGATCATTGTGTGGATGTAGGCTGACGCAGATCTTTTCTCTCTCCGTAATATTTCTGCAGAAGTATTCGATCTGGTCCGCATACACATTGGGAGTTGACATTTCGACTGTAGCAGGGAGGTTGAAAATGATTGGGTTCTCTTCGGTAGGGCCCCAAGCCTCCTTGACTGCCTCGCACACCTGGATCACATATTCCGGTCTGCTATCCGAAAAGGTTTCTGGACTAAACTCGAAAGCCCATTCTGTACCAGCGTGTTCGGGATCGTCCTTCGTAATAGACCGAGCATATTTCGCACACCTAACTGCCAATGCCAAACCCTCTTCCTCGTTCAAGCCGAACACAATCCTCTGGAAGCACTCGCTGGTAGCAAGATAAATATGTAAAATGGCCTTCTTAGCACCCTTAAGGGAGTCAACAGTTCGCTTCATGAACTCCTCACGACATGGTGAGAGGACTTGGAGCCAGACATCATCCGGTACGGCGCCAGGAGTTTCGACAAGGCGTCTGGTGAAATCGAAGTCTGTTTGCGAAGCAGATGGGAATGAAACTTCAACCTCCTTGTAACCAAGCTCCACCAACATCTTGAAGTACTTCCACTTTTGTTCACCATCCATAGGGTCGACTAGACTTTGGTTGCCATCTCGTAAATCTGTGCTGAGCCATCTCGGAGGCTTATCGATAGTTTTGGATGGCCATTGTCTATCAGGCAATTGAATAGGAGGAAATCGCTTGTATTTTATCGAAGGATCTTGAAGCCTAGAATCAAACCGAAATTAGCACTACATTTCAGACTCTGAAGAGTTCAGTTTTTTACTTAATTCGTGTTCTGTATCAATAACTTACATGGGCATTTTTGATGAGATGGCGGGGTCGGGTTTGATGATAAGTTGAGTGTTTATGAAAGTACTTTTAAAAGGGCAATTAATCAAGAAACCAATCAATATAAACAAATAATAGATCTGACGAGATAAAGGGGGTTTTATAGCATTTGTTTGAAGAAGAGGGGATGGATATGAATATTGAGTCACAGAATAATTAATAAATCTCATACAATCAATGGAGAGATATAAATTTTAAGCCGATTGCGGGACGAGGGGAATTTGGAAGTTCGACCAATTATAGTTGCGCCCGGAATGGGGACCTTGGTTTATTTAGCCAGCTCTTTGTGAGTTTATACGGAAAGCCTCGGCCTTTGATTCGATAATTTATATATACTTATACGTTAGAGAAATCCATTCCTACCTCCCCTCCCGAGTATTAATGATCATTGCCATCTGGTTAAAGCCTACCAGATTATCTCCATGATCGAAAGGCGTGGATGTGCAGTACCAGTCAGAGCAATGAAGTAACTACTAGTAAGTACTGATAGATGAAAACAATTGTTGGTGGGCAGGGAGGGACAAGAAAGGATAATCAATAGGATGTTTTCGAAAGTCCCAACGAAACGAACGAACGAGCTAAGTGCTTCACAACATGCTACAACATAACGTCGACATAAAAGTAAGTATATCACAAGCATCACAACATCATACATACATAAACTTCACAGTAGCTCAGCATCAGATTCACCAAACAAGAAACACAACTATAAGTTATTCAAATATTCAATTAAAACAAAAAGACAACTATCGACAACCAACTACCCTATACTTGGCAGTCCCTGGATATTGGGATATCCTAACTCCCCGCTAAAAGCGAATCTGATCTCTCGTTTCCCACGCTTTCTTTCTCTCATGCAATCATGATATGATCTATATACAAGTGCAGCTTGTGGTGTGGTCCGGTAGTATAATACAACGCTCTCCATCCATAAAAAATCATATGATCGAAAATCGAAGAATAAAATATGACCATACACTTGCTCTGCACGGCTCGACTTGCCATCTCTTGGGTTCTGTGACCCTCTAGTCCCCATTACCAGGTAAAACTCTCCTCGATGAAATCCACAACCCCGTGTTCCTGGACCTCTCGAACGGCCTCTCTTATGCTATCCTGTAACGCACCTGGCCCACAAACAGTGACGCACATGGCGCCCACTTGTTCCCTAACCTCTGTCTGTAATAACAAATTGATGTTCGGCCTACCGGGCAACATTTGCACCGTTGCGCTTGGAGAATGGATCTCCTTTGGATTCTTTGGTTTCGTGACGAACAATTTGATGGTAAGAATATCGCGACGTCCTTGCATGCGTAGGATTTCGTCCATCCAAGGTCGTACCCATTCAAGATGTTCGACATCACGGATGATCCAAACGAGGAGGACCTTTTTGGTGGCGATGGTACCGTCGTTGAAACCTTGGATGAGGTGTTGAACGTAGGGAATTTGATGGGTGATGCCGGAGGAGCCAGCGAAAAGTACTACATGACCGTAGGAATCAAGTGAATGATGTCCAGCATACGGTCCTTCAAATGCAGCCTTTAACTTCAGAACATGTGGACTGGCAACTTTGGCTGCGTCAAAGAGACGACGCGTCAGACCAGTCTGCGCATGAATGACAAAACTAACATCAGTTGTCTGCTCTCCTAAAACAAGTTTCTTCTCGTTGAGTGGGAGTTCGGGGGAGAAAATTGGGCGGTGAGCTACCCAAGCAACGGAGAAAGGATGCGACTCCCAGAAGTTGAGTTTTGCAAAACGAAGATAGGCGTGAGATCCAGGCTTGATGTCGATTTTTTTGGACAGGTGCATGGTGACACGGCAGGCATCTCCGGGCATGGCTTCGATGGAGGCGGTGGTCCAGCCTTTGGTACTGTAGTTGCACCAGATAAGACGGGCCATTCTGATGACCCGATCAGCTATCCAGAGAAAGGCGACGGCACGGATGTAAGGTTTCTGTGGAAGACTTGGGATGTCACAATGAATCCAAACACCGGCGATGGCTACGGCGGCGAAGATGATGTGGAGATTGAGGAAGGTTTCGTAGAAAGCATGGCGAACTGGGGATGGAGAGGTCAGGAGGATAAGGACAAAGGCAATCGTACCCACCATCCCATAGGAGCAAAATGGATCGTGCATGAGTTTTTCCCAAACACTGGAGAAACCTGTATCCGCATATTGGACGTAAGCCCAACATGAGGTGTGTACAAGAGCCTCCAATACGACTATCCTTCCCATCCATCGATGCAATAAGTTGTAGGTATCGAAACTGATTTGGAGCCATCCAATGAGGGGGTTATTGCGTCCGGCAAGAATGATGAGTGCGATCATGTTACACACAGCGAGAACACCAGATCTTCCTCTCAACTCAGCTACGATAGCATACTTATTCTCTCTGCTGTAATCCAGAACCAGAGTATAGGCAACGTTCATCGACAAGTAAACGATCAAGAGAAGTGCATGCCATCTTGATGGTAGGGTTCCCATATTGACAGCCGACGACAACTTGAACTCTCTGTTGTGACGTTTGTTCCATAACGGCGCATATAACAAATGCTTCTTGACTTTCCACCAACTCGATCTATTTTCCTGGAAATATCTTTGTTGATTTGCGTTACTATTCATCCCTGTCATGTGTCGCATGTGTGACTTCGCTCTATGCATCATCCTGAAGACAAGGATGATCAATGCCATTATCCCCAAGCACCACCATAAAACATCTCGTAAAAGATTATTGACATTTTGGTTAACACCATTCAAATCGGTGGCGTACATTCCTATAGTGTTGCTAGGTGTTGCAGCCGCTTCTGTTGTGGTTGCATGTTGTAAACTCGTGATGGTTGCGCTGGTTGCTTCGGCTGCGGCCCTGCGCAGAAGATCGAGGGACTTCATATCGATATTAATGTTGTTTTGTATATTGTTGTACTTGGATTATTGTTTGAAAGTATTTAAAAGTCCTTCTATGTAAATCTATGTGGAAACAGTTGGTTGGTATTGATTCGGGTTTGGTAATACGGTCGTTGGTTCTATGGGATTCGAGATTCGAAGGCGACCTTGAAGGGGGGGGAGCCGTTTACTTACAATAAAACTCGAGTCCTATTGTCTAATTGTTCTCTATTGTATCGCTTGTTGCTTGGCTGTTCTTGCCTATGATTCTTTGATCTGTGAACAATAAAGTAATGCAATTTTGAACAAGGGACATGGTGTAGAAGTTGTTTGAAGATTGTTTGTTCTCGATACAAAGGAATGATTCGAGAATAGAAACGAATGATATGGAGAAGTTGTAATAATGAGTGTGAATGGAGAATGGAGAATGGAGAATGATTGATTGAGTATCAAAGATTATTTAGTCTCCAGGACTTATGAAAGCAAAGAGTCAAAAATAACTTCTTGAATAAAAGAGTGAATAAAAACAAAAGTGGCTTTGTTCAGAATTGAAGATCTCGAGAAGCAAGACAACAGACCAAGAGATAAACAAAGAGGCGGCGATCAAGAGATGATGTTATATTTTTGGCCGTAGTCTTGGTGAAAGTCTTTGTGGATCTAGAGAGGACTAAATTTGATGTTGGTTGATGGTGGAGACGTTGGTTTATTGAAGCGCGAAAGTTGTGAATCAGATATATTGCTACTTGTACTCAAATACGAACGAAAGTCTGCTTATAATAAGTGAATAGCGAATAAAGAGAAGATGAGTACATACGTATATACAAATGAGGAAATTAACAATACAAACGAAAATACAGTAATAATAATTTAAATCTAAAAAAGTTAAAAATGGTCTATCCGCATCCAATCCCTGGGCTCATCACATCGCATCACCCTTTTGGGCCATCACACAGCTTCTTGTGAAATGAGATAGCCGCAGTGTATTGACATGCTACTTGAATTCATAATGGCGTTGAAAAACATTAAGCATTCTCTCACATAAACTATTCCGATTGGTTCGAATGTTTTGAAACCGAATGTTAATCCACTCAGGGGTTTACCATTACCGGTATATCAGGGGTAAAAGAGAGATAAGAATAAGATTACAAGGCCAAGAGGAAACGCTTCAAGGGGAAGAAGAGTCAGAGCTTGAAGTACTGTAGATATACGAGTAGTATGATTTACATACAGTATGTACTCTCTTTTAGTTCTATAATCGAAGAATACCATGACAGATCCAAGCCTTCCAAAACCAATTAAAGGGACCGAGGTTCCGCTCCTTTCGAACCGCTCCTTGGGTAAACCTATCGACATAAAACCCTTGATCATTTCTATCCGATGGAAACCCCCCAGGGCCCCAAAGTGGATGACAGTATGATAGGAACCCTTGGATAATTCCATTCGATGGAATACCCATCCATTGTCCAGCCGCCAACCGAAACCCGAATACCCGAGCATCTCAAAGTAGACACCAACTTGCAGGAAGAGCCAAGCCTATCAAACAGAAACGCCCAATCGTTTCGAAACCGCCGAAAGGAGCAAAGTGGAAATAAGAATTTAGAGATTGGAGATTGGAGAGATGAGATGAACCTACCAGCATAAAGAAATACAGATCTTTACCTGAAGTAATCCTTGTGATCCTTTCACTAAGCTCCCAGGCCATTTCAGACTTCAGAGATGATGCGCATGTAGGTGAAAGCTTGATCAATGAGTTTATTGGGATTGATTATGTTGTTGATAATCCTCTCTCCAGCCACATATGCGAGCCACTCCCATGGGTGCTAAGTTCTAATCATCGGCTCGGTCATGGATAAATAAACTACCGATATCAGGCCACAAGGCATTACTACCTCCGATTTTCAGCGAACCTGGAGAAATTCCAAGCTCGTGAGGTCACAATTGTAAATTGTATTACGGTATTCAAGCAATTGACTCTTCTTCCACCAGTCAATATGGGATCTGGCGCTTCGAAACCTGAGGAACCTCCCAAGGCACAGGTATGGGCTAGGTAATTCTCATGTTTCTATGTATCTAGCAAGCCCTAATATATATTTGGCAGTGAAACACCTGTACGGTTCTCGGAACAACTTATAGATTCTTTGCAGTCGAGCTCTGAGGTATGCTCTCTCCCCTCTTAACCCGAGTTCTCATATTCGTCAGCCTAAATCTGACATACCTCAAAAGTCTGATTCCACCCGCGCCAAAACCCTTGAACTCCACATCCAAGCCCGCGTCGCCAGCGAACTCAAAAAGCTCCAAGAGCGCGCCAGTAAAGACTTCGAGGAACTAACCACCAAACTCTCCAACGAGGAATCTTCGCCTCCATCCGAAGAGAAGTCCGCAGGCGACAGCTTAAGACAATTGGGCAGAAATGCGGTTCAGAAAGACGTAGAGGGGTTGAGGAAAAAGTTGGAGCAAAGGAAGAAGGTGCAGGATCTAGATGAGGGGGTTGAGAAGGCGAAGAGTGAGGTGGTGAGGTGCTTGAGAGAGAATGACAGGAGGCCGTTGGATTGTTATAAGGAGGTCGAGGCTTTCAGAAGGGAAGTGAGGAGATTGGAGGGGAAGTGGGTCGAGGGGATTGTTAGATGAGGTGGGGGAATGCATGGCTGATTGAGAAGTAGAGGGGAGGAGGTAGGTAAAAATTGTCAAGTGAGGGGCCAAATGATGAAAAGGGATCAATGAAGGTGTCTACGAATCCACTGTGTTTAGAATACGTGTAATAGAAATAAGGCACAGCATGGAAGTATGGTATTTTGTCACAAAACGATTCGCTGTGTCAGATGCATCAGATTTTGATTTCACTACAGTCTGCTGATGTTAGATCTAGTGGAAACTTCTCGGAGTCCTGATTCCCCATTTCTTCACTCCTCTCTTTCTCCTCCTTCAATTCTTGAGCTCTCCTCAATCCCTCCGCACGTTTTCGCTCCTTTCTAAGTTGAGGATCCTCCCAATCCTCTCCATTTTCTCCCATCCTCTTCTTCTCCACGGGATTCATGGCCTCTTCTAGTAATACTCTAAACCTCGCAATCCTCTTTGTGTTCTCCTCAAATCTCTCAATCGAAATTCTCATCAATGTACCAAGCTGTTCGTTATCAACAAGGCAAACCCCCTGATCAAGTATCTCATGATATACACCAATTATTGATTCGAGCGTGAGGCCCATGCATCTTATTCCTACCATAGGAGTTGCTGGCTCCGAGGTAGTAGAGATCAGGTTCAATGCACCACTTTCCCGAAAACCGGCTTGTAGCGCAGCTGATAAGACTTTTTGCGCTTGCTCTAAGGATGCTGTGAGAACATGGAGAATCTATTCAAACATCAGCGTCAAGAATCCATGAATAAAACAGTGTACATGAAATACCATCGGCTCGAATTTGAAATGGATATGCCGTAATTCCGTGGTCTTGCTCTCGGCAAGAGTAGATGCGGTATCACAATCATCGACCTTCATACCCAGCAACTCGCAGAGAGACCCTCCAGCTTCCCGCTTGCCTAGTACCTCATCATCTATCGCTTCGTGAGATACATATAACCATCTTCCCCCACCTCCTTTCCCTCCAAATCCCGCAGTTTTCTCAGCTCTCACATCTGGAGTATAATCAACCCCCGATTCATCCTGCACCTGTTTCCTGTTCTCTTCTCCAAAGTTCTTCTTTCCCTCCAAGAATACGCTCACTCGCCCAGCGCAACTACTAGTCGTGACGCAACCTGCCAGAGAATTAATTTCATCGATTAATTCCCGGATGCCTTCGTCTACGGAGCCTTTGGGTGATAGATCATCGTACTCGTCTGTGGGGACAGCAAGTTTGCTTAATATAAGCTTTTTCTTGTTAATGAAAGATTGAGGAAGAGACATTTTCGTCAGGTAGGTGCATGTGATCATTGTAATGGAGGGGTGAGATTTTGGGTGGTGGGGGGAAAGATGCTTTGAGAAATCATTGGTTAGTGAAGCGAGAATATTTAGTGGCCGAGGATATTCCGAAACAACCTTCACTCACCTCACTTTGAGTCTTCTTTCATTCCTTTTCTTCTTCTGCTGAGGATGTCTTCAGTCATCCAGAGTCAAACCCAAAATCCAAATATTGGGAATCATTTCATATACAATTACTTACCCATACTTATATCTAATATTCATCAAGTTGGTTATACTCGTACAGATGCATTTTCTTCACATACAAGTATCACATTCATCACATTCATCATTGGCAATTGCCCATCATAAAAACGGTGCTGGATTTGTAATATCTGAATGGACAACTACAAAGCTGCAAACATCAAGATGTCATAGAGATGACCTCAAGAATCAAAGCAACCAAAGAAGAAACTTGACCCATCTCATCATTATCTCAAATCGAGTATCCCAATCAAATAAACTTTAAAAATCAGATTCCTTTCAAATAGATGAGCATGTCCGTAAGGTATCAAAATCTATCCTCATGAGAAATAAATGCAAGAACTAGTCAGGCAATAATTGGCATCTCTCGATAGTAAGACGCTTCAGAGTGCAAATAGAAGAATATTAACAAAGCTGTTCCTGCAATTATGTGACGGTACTTCAATGATTCCGAGAACGGCTTCATGAATCATCGGATTGGGGGTAGACAGATGTAATATGGGAAAGGGGAAAAGGGAAAACATGAACAATTGTTGATTTTCAGAGGATCCAAGTCCAGCGTGCATGATTATTGGAAGGGTTCGAGGAACGAAACTGTCCAAATACCAAGATTGCCTGACGAGAAATTCATGAAATGCCAGATATGAGCGACAAATTTGTCGGATAATTGATGACAATTGCAAAGTCGTACCGAAAAATAGCAAAAGAGGACGTATCAGCTGCTAGGTACATGGGCCGGCCTCCAAAGCTGGAGTAAGTGCTTGTCGAATGACTTGCTCGAATGCCGTCCACTCCTTCAGAGCAAGCGCAGCGAGGGTCAAGTCCATACAGTCCGTGTAGTCAACAAGTTTGTCCATATTGCCGAAGATATTAGGAACTCGGGGGATCTCTGTAGCCCTAGCTGCAGCTTTCTCGGCCAGCGTGAGCTGTTTCTTATCTGCGGTAGCGTCATGAATGAGCTTGATGTAGTACTATTGTTGATCAGTCAGTGTCGTCATTCAATCTTGCTTTCTCCGCATACTTACTTCAACGAGATCATATGCAACGTCCTTTCTTGGTCCAATAGTCCAGACGTAGCTCCAGAGGTCAGCCTGTGGAGGAACGCCAAGCTCAAGAGCGATTTGAGGGTCAATATTCATCTTGAATACAATATTATCCTTCATGCAAGGACTGAAGCCTTCGCATTTGAGAGCAGTGCGCCAAACTCGCTTCAACAACTGAGCGTTGAGATTGAGTGGATCATCATTGTTGTCAACACGCTCAACAAGCAACGCAAGCAATTGAATTGTTGCCTTATACAACAACTCACGATCTAGACAAGTAACGTGATCGACCATTGCCCAAGGGAACTTGATCAAGGTGCTAACGAGGCATTCGAATGGTCGCTGTGGACAATCCTTTGAGAAAGGAGACTGAAAAATGTCAGCAGAATTTCAACCTACTTTGGAAAGCTCGAGAACACTTACACGTTGTGGAGACTCGACATGCTTAACCAGCATAACCAGTTCTTCACGGCTGACAAAACCTTGGAAGCCAGAATTATATCTATCATTCTCATCACGAGCAATTATCTCCGGCTTGGAACCATGCCACTTGACATTCTTTGCCTTGGGGAACAGCTGCTTCATCAACTCCTCCTGTGACGACAACTCGACTTCAACGTGGCGTTGCCCAAGACGTCCACCTCGACCACCAATGCGGTTCGTATCGAAACGCTGAACGGCGTTTGCAGCCTCGGAGAAGCTGATGAACTCAACGTATGCATCAAGTGTCTTACTGGTGACGCGCTCCATGATGATGTGAATCGGCTCGTGGTCATCTGCCGCCGCGATTCGTGCATTACGACCGAGAAATGCGAGGATTTCTTGACGAGTGACACCGTATGGAATCTACGGATGGATTAGCATCCAACTGATAAGATCTGTGACATTAACCTACATTCTTGATTCTCATAACACCCCATTGAACTGGCTTGGCTTGGCGACAGTACTCCTCAAAAGGCAAGAATCTCATGTCGAGAGCCTCATCAGCAGTTGGCACACTAGTACCATTCCTGGTCAACTCGCGAAGTAAAGAACTCATTCCACCACCAGCACCAAAACGAGAGTTAGGACTGAACGAAGTGAGTGCGGTGATTGGATTGAACGGGTTAATCGCAAGAGGACGTGGAGTAAAGCCAGCAGCGCCTGGCATACGCTCATGAGAGCCATTGACATCGCGCTCAACTCCTTCAGCAATGAAATCCAACATCTTGGGAGTATTGTCAACTTCAACTACGCCATCTCCTGTGATAGAGTTCTCGCGCGAAAAACTTCCACGAGTCGGTGTATTCTGAACCCAATCGTTGACCTGCTGGGCACGATCTGCAGAAGCGGTAATAGTCTTGCCGCGGCTGGATCGAAGCATGGGGGTGAAATTTGCTCTGGGCTCAGACGCAGTGGCAGAGACTGGGAAGTCGCTGGATGACACAGGTGATTGGATGCTATTGCTGCCTTGTTGACTTTGCACACTTTGGTTTTGCTGCTGAGGGGTATGGACGACAGATTGAGGATTGCTATTGATAGCTACGTAAGCGTGATGACCAAGATCAGGCTTAGCGGTATCAGCTTTCTGCGCATTAAACTGTGGCTTTGGTGGAAGTGGATGATAGATACTGCCAACAGATGGAAGAGTCAAGTATGGTGCGTTGCGAGCATTAGCAGCAGGGTTGTTGTTCACAGCTGCAGCTTGGAAATTTCCATTTGTGTGATTCTGCATCATACCATTGCGGATGCCATTTCCATTGCCGTTGCCGTTGCTGTTGCCGTTGCTGTTGCCGTTGACATGGCCGTAGCCATTATTTTGATTACCGTTCGGGCCGATGCTGTTTGGACTCATGCCGAGGCTGAGGCTACCAAAGTTCAGGTTTGAAACCATGCTTGAAGCTGAACCAGAGGTGGAATTTAGACCACGATAATTATTATTACCGCCACCGCCGTTGTGAAATTGTTGCCCATGCATACCAGTTGGTGGAGCGGAGTATGTCTGATTGTATTGAGGATTGTAAGGGTTCGCCGGGAACTGAGTAGCAAGAGGCGGCAATTGTGGTCGCATACCCATGTTTTGGTGTTGGAAGCCGGGTTGAGTGGGAGCACAATGGCCGTTGAAACTGAGTTGATGTTGATGCTGATTTCCAACCTGGCCATTGCCGATCTGAGGATTTTGAAGACCTCCGATCTGGCCATTGTAAGGTGGTGATTGATATGTGTTGTTAGCGCCATTGAACCCGTTCATACCATTCATACCGATACCGAAATTATCCTGTTGATAACATTGCTGCTGTTGTTGACCTGGCACCTGGTACCCAGTCTCTTGACCAAAACTTCCAGCAGACACGCCATTCATGTTCATGTGAGAAGTGTTGGCAAATGGTTGAAACTGAACACGAGCATCATGGCCATTACTGAAATCAGGCGTAGCAAATGGCAATGGAGGATCAGCAAAAGGACTTGGATCGGGAATTGCAACGGCACCATTGTTTTCGTACTCGGATGGTAGATTCCATGGAAGAGGTACTTGAGTTCGGAAGGAATCGTTAGAATTGGCGGATTCCTGGCTGGTATTTTGAAGACTTGAAAGAGAGGGTGGAAAGCCATAGATATTGTTGTTAAACTGGAATGCGTTTGGAGCTGGCTGGCCAGTGGGCAAATTGAGAGGTGCCATGGCTAAAGGCAAGTTCCGATTTTGTATTGATTTGAGGATGTTTTGTTGGCGATCTATCACCTGTTGTTGGTGATTAAAAGGAGAGGTATCCGCAAATGCGGGTGGAATAGGTGGTGAACGTGATGGAGGTGGAGGAAAGAACTGTGGAGCTCCTGCAGCTAAGTCAAAGGGTGGTGCCAGTGGGTTCAAAGAAAGGGAGCTTATCTGCGTAGTTGGGCACAAATGGCGAGCCGTACAAGAGGACGATGATGGTGAATTGAAGTGTGAATGCTCACTTTGTGTTGAACTTGATCTGTCGCTAGAGGGACCAATTCCCCATCGAGGAGTGCCGCTTTGACTTGTAAACATCTCTGGATTATGCGAGATTAGACGACAATAACACTTATCAAAGAAGGAATGAATGTTGAATGCATAAAGTGAAAGGATGATAATGAGAATGATTCAAATTCACTTTGACAGTGTTGATGGTATCTGTGATTATTTGTGCTTTAGAAATTAGACGAAGGAGAACTTGAAAAGCAAAAAAGGTCTTAGGTTATGGGACTGGGATGAGGCTATACAATCGGGGCAGCAAGATCATCGAAGGTGAGTGAATGAAGTTTGAAAGAGAGAAAGTCGGGATTATATGTGAAAGATAGGGCTCTTTTATAGGGGTTTGGAGGAATCTAAACATCTCGAGGGACTATAGGGGACTTGTCGGATATTAAATTCTTGTTTGAATTGTTTTATAATCTGCTTCAACTGAAACATATTAGTAGGTATCTTTGATTTCTCTCTGTATTTACGTTTTTATCATTGCAGATGGCTTCCATTGTCTAAAATATACTGAAATACTCTATAGACTTTCTCTACTCATGTAAATGTATCCGATACCCTTTGATTAGATTTCCAACACAAAAAGGGTAATTGAATATCATATACTCTTGACTATTGCGTCGGGTAAGTCTAGATCCAGATAGGGCTAATACATTGTTTGCTTATATGTTCACTCTGATCTCATAGAAGGTTGTTGTATTCATTTATGAAACTTGCAGCCCTGCCAATTCGATGGCAAAGATAGTAAGTAAGAAATTGCAGTCAAGTATGATGTACTCTCGTATGAAATTAGTAAGTTATAGAGAGTAGAGCAACAGTGTTATCTTTCCAGATTATCAAACTCCTCTAATCATGTAAATTGTTAGATGTTTGATTATTTTGGGCCTCAAAACAAATGCAACTTCTCAGTCAACTCGTCTATTCGGGGGAAACTCACAAATCGAGAGTCTCTTACTTGCAATAAAAAATTAGGCTGAATATTATGGTAGACTTTTGAGCCCCTGATTGTAGTTTGTACATATTCTATAGTATCTTGAGATATTATTTTCCAGAATTACCTTCCGCTTGGAGCTAATGCTGGAAGATCCAGACGCATACATTCATAGAACAGTACCACTCAATCTGCGGAAACTCGAATTGGAAGGGCTTAAGCTTGGTGGCTAGACTAGCTCAGGGCAGCATCTCTGCTAACTGATACCAGCAGATTTCTTCTCTCTCACTCATGTTGCTCCTTTTCCATGAATCTTATTTGGGATTGCAATACCAAATATTTTCAAATGAGATTCCTTGATGTGCACATTTTCAATTCTCTGCTTACTTCCGATGCTATGAGAGCATGACATATAATTCAGTTGGTTGTTGATAATAGCTTTCCCCGTTCATGAGTACTCCATCAGTCCCTTTGATAGGTTCTTCTAAGCCTTATCAACCCTTGGGCACATCCATCATTCTAATTCTATTTATACCCTTCAATTTCATCTATCACTCATACTAAGCGTGATTTTGCGAGTTTTACGTAATGCTATCTCTCCGCAAAAAGCAGTTGAGAATTGGCATCATCCAACCGCGGTAAATAGCGAGAACGATATATCTTACCTTGAATATGTCTAAGCGCGATTTCGGTACTAATAATTACCGAGCTGGCTCAAAGGGCTATGCGTACGAAAACACCAATATTCACTATCCAAAGACTGAGTGAGTCAGCGACGACTATCAATCGACGATCAAGTGCTTGTATAGCAGGTGTATCAATCACGTATGTGACACACCCGCCACCACTAACTGTTCGGCTAAATTTGAAGCAACTGTTACGGCAACAACATCAGCTTTGACAACAGTAACGGTGATCAATTTAAGTCTTTTCGAACATGACCACAGTGAATGTGGTTGTATGGCTCGAGGGTAGTATCACCATCAGATCTTCGCAAGGAGTTAATTTTTCATTGCTAAATTGAAGTAATAAAGAAGCAGGCTACAACCTCGCCATATCATGATTCCGTCAAGATTATAGTCCCTCTACATTTATCACTATGACTATCCCTCTAGTGGGTATTTCTTTGATCTTAGCACCTCGATAAAACCGCTAACCACTACTTCAGAAAAGATCAATTAAATCTCCTTGAAGTAGTACTAGCAATTTTTCCAATTCCATACTACTTACGCTTTTGTAGAGGAAAGCTCTGGAGACGATGTTGGAGACATACAAGGGTCGTTCGAGGCAAATACGAGGTTAAATTTTTAAACTAGGAAATGGAAACACGCCCACAAAGTGAGAGTATAACATCAAAGTAACCATCAATCATCTAATTAGTACTATGAATATAAAGATACTTGTCTTGAAATCACTCGCTTAGCTGTAGTAGCTCTTAGGGCTATAGGCTAGGGCAATAAGCGACGCTTTGACCACCACGGTGCGTATATGATTTAGTATTAGTATCTCTATAGTTAGTTCCTTCATTCGCAAAATATTTTGAGCTCCGGAAAATCACGGATTTAATAAACTCTAAGTCAACTACTCTACTTTCGGGCCACCCCCCCTTTCGGGCCATT